GTATTTCCCACTGAGGCCTTTCCCCTCATATTTTGTAGTAAATACTGAGCCCGAGGAAACAAATGTGAGCTGGGTGCAACATAGTGAAAGAGGAGGCTAAACGCCGAGTTCATTTGCCATCAATATTTACACCTTATTTACTATAATCAGCTATATACAGTTTCATTTAGTATATGACATTACTCTTTGAAATAAAAATCGTACTTAGCATAGATTTCATGATTTTTTTAAGGCAAAGAACTATGAAATCTGGCTTTACTCAAAAACCTTAAACTACTTAAAATGTAATAAACTTTGGATTTTTTTATCATGCATTCGATTTCACCTGTTCTAATTCTGTAATAATAAAATAATCAAAGACATTATAAATCAAAAAATTATTTATAGAAATAATTAAATTACTACACTTTCTTTGACAATAAATATATTTATTTATATTAATTATATAAAGATATTTTCTTTATATAAGGATACGGCGGAATGCGACTCAAACAAATAATGCAATCGAAAAATGTTTTTTATGATCGCTTTTATTGAAATAAAATAATAATTTTTTTTAATCTTTCATTTCTTGCAGTCATTATTCTTACGATTATGTTTCGATTTCTGTCTGAAATATTTATGCGCCATTTTCATTTGGTTATCTTTTTACAGATCAAGACATGACATCGGTTTTATTCCGAAGGATTTAACAAACTGAAAAGTGCTCAATTTCCAAGTGATTGTCTTTTAGTTATTCTTTTAAATGTCAGGTCGATTGATTTTCCTTCTGCTAATCAATTCAACAATAAGGAATTGCTCCTTAAAATTTTCCAATTCTAAATTTGTAAAATGTAAAAGAGTAGCATTTCTCATTTTCACTTAAATTGGAATTATGATACTTTGCAGTATTTAAAACATTTCTTTCTAAATTATAACGAAATATTTAAAGAAATGAGATGATTTTATAATCAACCTGGATTTAATGTGTCAATACTTGAATAAACTTGCGAAAACGCTTAAACCTATTTTCTCAACATCTCCATATTGAATTATTTATTTAAAGGTGAAAACCCGAATCGTTACGATTGTAAATACTTATTATTGTATACCAAATACAAGTGTTTAAATAATTTGTTTCAATTGTCCCTCCCCTGGTACGGTGCTTATTTGGTAGAGTATGCTTATTTATTTTCAAAAACTTTTCTCCGTGATACGATTATTTGATTCACGGAATCAAAAATTCACCGCCTATTTTATAAGTTGAACAATTCAATTGATTATTTCAAATAGCTCTTATATTTGATACAAAAGACTACGACACTTCTTGAGAGTCTCAACATTTTCTCTTCGGTTTGAATCCTACATTGGGATTTATGCTTGCGTTCATTTTCATGACAGGCCTAACGTATCTCTGTTGAAACGGTTGATAATGAAATTATTATAGTTCAATATTAATTAAATTAAAAAAAGAAAAAAAAATTAGTGAAAATAATAAAGCAAAATAGAAAGTTCTAAAGTGTAAAACTAGATTTTATTTAATGTCATTGATGGATATACAAGTAGCGTGGAAAAGAGAATCGACGACAACGAGTTCAATTTCTGCCCTGTTGGATTCAATTTCGTATTATTGCCTTTTGAAAAAGGCATGACTATATTTTTTCTTCCTAACCCCAGCTCTGGGTTAAATACTATGGTATTAGCCTTAGTTGGCATCTAGTCTGAAAAAGGCAATGGGAAACGACTTTAAGTATTCATAGAAAGTCATAGATATTAAAGAAAACAGAAGCTGTGGAGCGTCATAATTGCTTATATCCTGAAAGGAAATGACATTTTTTTAAAAATGTCATTGGTGTACAAAACCGTCTATGCGTCGGTTGTAAGAATAATACTAAACACTTTGGGTTATAAAAGTCATCCCTATAATTATATGAGTACAGAAACGAGGAACAGACGTACAAAGACTAGATAAGAGGGAGTATTTTTTTAATGCAAATAATATGGACTATTGTACAGCTATTTATGACAAGAATGCGCTGGATTCTTATTTGAAGGTGGCCGGTCATTTGTCATTCAACATTACTCATGGAATTCTGGTTTGGCAAATGTTATTCCGGATTTCGTGATGACAACACACCCTCCAAGCAGGAAAAAGAGAGACAATCAACAACAACCCCCCAAAAAATAAAAATAAAATAAAATAGATGCTGCATTATCGTCAAAAGAATGAATGAACAGGTTTAATAGTAGAAAATTCTAAAATAGCTGGACCTTGTTTGGGAACTTCAGAAATGATTAAATATCAATGGGGAAATGATTGCATCACTAGAAACAATCGTATGTTTATCTCAGCCGGCGTTTGAAACAACTAAAAAAACAAAAACAATGCAAGCTGTATGATTACATACGATTGCTAGGAAAGTGAGAAATAAAAACACTTGCCGGGTGACCTGAGGGCAAGGCAATGGAGTAAAATAAATATACATTCTCTTTGCTCGAATTCTCATGTTAAGTAATACTTAAGATGTACAGTGCTTGGATTTTCTTTATATTGATAATACTCTGCTGAGTAGATGGGGGCATATACCAAATCTCTTTTAAACACTGGACCTACCAGGCATCATTAGTTCTTGTGTTCACCTTACGTGATCGTTACTAGAATTCCATTTGATCTTAGGTTTCCAATAATTAACGGTATAGCAGTAGCTGTCACATTTTTTTTTTCAATTCTAATTTCAAGATATTTATATTTACTTATTTTCTCAGATTCCGTCACATCATCATCATCATCATCATCATCATCATCATCATCATCATCACAAACAACAACACTAACAATAACATTGATAATAATAATGACATGAGGACGTCAATAATTCTAGTTGTAGTTGTAACCCTTGAATTGATTGGAAAAGGTCCCGAAAGACTCATTGAAGGGATTCCTGGAAGTTCATGCCTTAAAGAAATGCAAAACAATGTACAACACAAGTCCAACTCACACATTACGAAGAGCAATGTGTGTGATCTTGGGATTTTTTTTTTTTTTTTTTCAAAAATAATCAGTGGAAAATGTCATGAACCCATTTCTGACCTTAAGTCTCTTGTTGGGACCCGGAAGGAAATGTGTATCCAACAGAAATCAAAGAAAATAATAATAATAATAATAATAATAATAATAATAATAATAATAATCCCTATTGTAGTTGGAGCCTTAGGATTGGTTGGAAAAGATTCCAGTAGACTAATTAAAGGGATTCCTGGAAGTCCATGCCTCAAAGAAATACAAAAAAAATGTTCTCACAAGTACAGCCCACATTTTACGAAGGGCTTTATCTATGTTATTTTTTATGCCATTTCTAACCTTAGGTCCCTGGGCTGGACCCGGAAAGAAATGTGTACACGCCAGAAATCAAAGGAAATAATAATAATAATAATAATAATAATAATAATAATAATAATAGAGATTTAATAGCAATTGAAAAACAACCCAGAAATTACATTAAATTAAAGATTTTAATTATGGATGCCTCAGTGGTCAATTATATTTTATAACAAGAGACGAATCAATCTTTTAAAACAATAAAACGATTTTAATTTTAAGAATTGTATAACACCTGAAATATTTATTATAAATGTTTGCTAATCGTCGATATGAAAAAGAGAAACAGCTGGAAATTAAAGCCAATAAAATGCATAAAAAAAGATTTTTTTAATTCCAACCAAAATATACATTGTCCCTTTCAATAAAAACAGAATAATTTTCTCAAGCAAATTAAAAATAATTTATAATTACATGAACATCAAGAATATATATTTGACTGAAGAAGCTAATGTCGTTGAATAAGAAAACAATGATTTGAACACCTTAAAAATACGATGCACTCTGCCATATTTAAGAGGTATGTTGTTATGAAACCATTGTAACAAGACAATATAAATAAGTGGACAAAAAAGCAAAACATAAGTCAAAAGAAATAACATAACAAAAATTGTCATGAAAGTTCTTTGTTCATCGATATAAACACTTGAGTCAAGTAACGCTTCCGTCATATCGATATTCGATACGGACATCAGACACGACAAAATAAAGAGTAAAAAAAAACCCTATTGCATAAATGCATTTGCATATTTACATTTGATAAAATATACAAGGGTTTATAGATAGATACATAGATAGATAGATAGATAGATAGATAGATAGATAGATAGATAGAGAGATAGTAATTACTATGCCTATTCTGCTTGATTATGTATCAAATGTGTATTACCTAAGTGATTACATTATATATTGAAAGATTAAGCACACACATATACATACATGCATATATATATATATCTCTCTCTCTCTCTCTCTCTCTCTCTCTCTCTCTCTCTCTCTCTCTCTCCAGATAGATAGATAGATGAAACGTTGCTGAAAAGTTCTCGGCCTGGCCAACAAAAGGTAGAAAAAAAATTCTAATAATTGGGTGTTTCGTCATTTAGGCGGATTTTTATCAGAATTATTTTAGATTGACCAATTCGGCAATAATCAGATGTCTTTTGGAATCATTTCTTGCTCATGCCGAGAAATTTTCAGCATCTCTTTATATATATATATATATATATATATATTTCAGCAACTTTTATACTGTCTACGGTAGCATTTACCATTTATTATAGTATTAAAGAAGGATAATTAAAAAAAAATCTTTGAAAAAGGCTGATGGCTTAGCCGAAAATGTTTGGAATCACTAAAAATTTGGACAAATTCTACACTCATTAAGTCCAGAAAAGGAAAGGCTTGTTTGCATATAATGAAAATATAATAAAAATTAACAAATATATCTCGTCAGTCTTGTTAAAAGACTACGTATTGATATATATATATATCACTACACTACATACATTATATTTTTATATCAATACGTATATATATTTTTCTACATGACTCTTTCTAAGAAAAAAAATTGCTTAATCATTGATTTCTTTCGCCTTTCTTAAAACGAAATATCCTTTTTAGTTTTCCTCATATTTTTGCTTAAGGCTATAACATGTTGAAACTCGGGTTCTCATAAGATCACCGACGTTAAGCAACGTCGAACCTGGTCAGCACCTAGATGGGTGACCGCTTGGGAATACCGGTGCTGTGAGCTTAGATATGCAAGTGATGTAATGGATAATGGCTCGTGATTATTAATCGGATGGCCGAGTTCCAATTCCATTTGGGTTTGTTATATTCGCTTACGAATTATTCGCTTGGAAAAGGTATGAATCTACATCTTTTAGTAATTCTTAAATCACTAAATAATTATTGTGTAAAAAAAATAAAAAATAATTCTTACAATCTAAAAATATTTTCTAGCTTTTAATAACCTGCAAAGGGTTGATAAACCGTAAAAAACGAATTAATCTATCAATATCTTATTTTGCGTACATATATAGAGATAGGCAAATTTGTAGATAAATATATTTCTTATTAGTTAAGTGTGTACATATAAATCTATATAAATCTATATAAATATTCATATTAATGGTACTTATGCATATATGCACACATATACTTATGTGTTTATAAACATCTGCACCAAATTCACATGATTGTTTATATTAATTAATATATAAGTAAACATTTATATTAATTTATATTAATTAACATATGCATCTATAATATAAATGAATGCATATGGTGATATCAAAACCGATAAATTATCCTATACCATAACATATATATATATATATATATATATATGTATATAAATAAAAAGAAAGAACAGTAAGATATAAAATCCGGTGTTCTTATAGATATTTTATTTTTACAAAATAGTGCTCAATGTAAATTTACAGAGCATTAATATTATAAATTAATTGATTTAAAAATATGGTTATTTTCGCTACACAGTTCCAACCATGTTTCAAAATAGAAGCTAAAACCCCTAATTTTATTTTTGCAAATAAATTAAAAGCATTAGTTCCATTTCATCTTCAAGCGAATTTTGGAGTAACTTTTAAAATTTACCGGGTTTTAAATACACAGCTAAAATCACGTTTCCATGGTTACAGAATATTCTACTCAAATTGAACACGGGGTGTCTAGATTTTCCTTATGACAGTATCATTGTATCAGTTATTAGCTACATTTTGGTAAGGGGTGAGGATGTATTTTACACTGAAACCTGACGTCGGTTGAATGGATGTCGTCTGAATTTAAAAAAAAAAAAAAATTGTTAACGGTAAAAATTTTCAACGTCATCTTTTAAAATTAAAGATTTTTTTTACAATACTTTTATTTAACTACGATTTGAAATATTTTCCTTTTTTAATTTTATTTTTACTATATTCTTTTTAAGAACAGTTAAATGTATTAGAATCCATTATATTATGTAGGATTATTTTAACATTAAGTTTAAGTATGTATATGAGGTTACATTTTTTTTTTTTTTTTTTGTATATGACTATGACAGCAGAAATGGTTACTTAATTTCACTGATTCAGTAAACTTTTCTTTTATATATAAACCTATTATTATAATATTTCACATGTAAGTACTGAGGACATGGGTTTATTTTATTTTATTTATATTTATATTTTATTTATTTTATTTTATTTATATTTATATTTATTTTATTTTATTTTATTTATATTTATATTTTATATATATATATATATATATATATATATATATATATCACTTTAAGCGTTATTTTAAAAGTATTACTGGATACCCTTATTTGAGTAGACGCACTGTATTTTTTTTTTAATAGTATATTTATTTTCATCTACCCACCTGATTATTCGAGAAATCTTATTAACAAAAAATGCACCCTCCGGCAGGATTCGAGCCGGCGTCCTCCCTTTAATAAAGTTTCTCGAATATTCGGGCATGTAGACGAAAATAAATATAGTGCTTAAAAAATAAATGGGGCGTCTACTCAAATATGGGTATCCACTAAAAATAACGTTTACAGTGATAACAATCTGTCGGATGAATAAATAAAAATCCCTTACTACTTCGTGTGTGTGTGTGTGTGTGTGTGTGTGTGTGTGTGTGTGTGTGTGTGTGTGTGTGTGTGTGTGTGTGTGTGTGTGTAAAATTCCGCCAAAAAAATGTATACACGTTTCAGGAAAGGAAAAACTTGGATAGATATTGTAATGCTAAATTTATTCAGACGTCACCTTTGAACTCTACAATCACAAAAATGGCCGTTTTTAGCTTCCAGACATTTATTAGTACGGTGAACATTAGGTAACATTGGCTAGTGTCCAGTGGAATAGGTGCACATGCATTTTCAATTTCTTGTCTAAGGGTCGCCAATGTATTCAACATTCTGCGATAGACAACATCCTTTAAGGTCCCATAGGTAAAGTTTTGCAGTGTTAAATTAAGAGAACATACGACTAGATGGATGTTTTGGTAGTGAGGCGATGCGGCGTTTTGTTGAAATAAAGTTCATGTATTGCAGTGTTATCACAATTTGATAAAACTACGAAGTGTATAGACATTTTTTTTTTTGGCGGACCCTGTATATATACACTACAGTTCAAAGTTTGAGGTCACTCCTCGTTTTTTTTTTTTTAATTGGCCCCAAAAGTAGTTGTTTTGTACTTTAAATGAGAGGAAGTTATTGTACATGGTTAAAAAAAAAAGTGTGACATGATATTTATTATAAATTTTATGATGACAAAAAGAAATGATTTATGATTAAATTTTGCTCTCGTCAAAATATCCTCCTTTAGCTTTGATTACTGCAGCGCAACCTGTGGCATTCGTTTCAAAAGTATCTCAAAGTATAAGTTTCATAATTGATTCCATTCTTTTTTCAATAACTCTAAGAGCTCTTTTTCATTTTTTGTTTTTTTCACTCTTCTGTAAGTTTATCCCATGTTAATGCTTTGAGTGGCTTCAAACTTATGAACTGTAGTGTATGAATATATATAATTTTGTATATACAATATACATATATAATAATAATATATATATCTTATACGTATATATATATGCATCTACACAATACTTCAAAAATAAACACAAAAACATAGTAACGAATCCTTTGAAAAATGTCTAATGAATTGGTCGAAAGCGCTTCAGGCAAAAACCACTACTACAGTTTTTACTCTTTCTCTTTCTCTCTCTCTCTCTCTCTATGTCTGTCTGTCTGTCTCTCTCTCTCTCTCTCTCTCTTAGTTTCCCTAAAATAAAACCTGTCAGAACATTAGGAAAACTGAAGGAAAACCTTTTATTAAATTTTCCGTTACCGTCACATTCAATGAAACACACACACATATATATATATTTATAATTTAAACGTTATTTTTAGTGGATAACCTTATTTGAGTAGACGCTCTGTTTATTTTTTTAAACAGTATTTTATTTCATCTGCTGGTCTGAACATTCGCGGTATCATATCAGAGAAAATGCGTTAATAAGATTTCTCGAATATTCAGGCCGGCAGACGAAATAAAATACTGCTTTAAAAAAATAAACGGAACTTCTACTCAAATACGGGTATCCAGTAAAAAATAACGTTAAATTAATAAAAATCCATGTCTATATTTCTGAGATGAGGTAGTGTAACTATTTACACTATTTATATTGTTGTCCTCATCTTTCCGTAGTTGTACGCTCCAACCTTATTCAGGTGATTGGAATTCTCCAAGTTTTGTGGCCAAGTATGGAACTCACAACTGTTTGTCTCCAGTCACAGGATTACTTCAACCAACGCTTTTATTTACTGGGTCATGTGTCCTGGGGGACCCCAGTGGACTAAATAAAGGTTTCGGTCCAAAATCACCGGACGAAGGCCGGAGCGTACAACGGCCGAAACGTCGTGAATATGATAACAAAGATGAGGACAAGAGGCTGAACAGTGTAAATAATAAAAATATGTTGGATTAATAAATAAAAAGCCATTACTTCTTTACACACACACAAAAACATACACACACACACACATATATATATATATATATATATATATATATATATATATATATATATATATATATATATATATATATATATATAATTTACGCATGTCAGGTACATCAATAGGTTCATAAACTAATGATGAACATCATTTACGTTACATAAAATATTTATTTTAACATAATTTCCTTATTTTACAATGCACTTGATCTATTACATTATACAGTGAAAATTCAGCTAATAAATGTCTCAGGCTACGGAATTGTTCACACACACAGACACACACATACACAAATACATGTCTAAATCTAACTTATCTCATACTTACGCACCACCACTGTGTGTGTGGGTTTTTGTCGGTGGGCGACGGTGTGTGCGTCTGTAAATTGAAAACAAATTATAAAGAAAACAAAGATATTAAATAGGAGTATATATTCATAAAATGTTTTCTACATATCAAAATTGATAAATACAGAAAAAGCTTTATTCAATAATATCACTATCGTCATCGATTTGCGGTGTAATGGTTTGCAAGCTTGTCTCGCTAGATTAACTACGACTAAATAATGAGTTCGATCCTCACTGGGTGCTCCATACTTTCGACCTAGTGCCACTCTAATATATATATATAGTGGGGGGCTTTGACGTGGTGTAATGATTAACAAGATGGTCTCACTAGATTAACTACGATTGAATAGTGAGTTCGATCCTCACTGGCCTTGTGCCACATCTAAGTTATGTTTAGAAACTCACCATATGGGTGTTGATCCTACACACACACACACACACACACACACACACACATATATATATATATATATATATATATATATATATATATATATATATATATATATATATATGCGGATAATCAATCTCGATTTCAAGGCGCAGCCATTTTATACGAATATGCATTTCCGTAGGTATATAATTTTAACCATGACTTTTATTTGTTGGTTTTTATTTTGAAAATATCTATTATGATTTCTTTCATTCTTTTCTACATGTAAATGCCATAGCAATCTAAAGAAAATGTCCTTATTTTCCAAAGTTATTAAGATTAAATATCTTCTAATCTATTTAAAAATAATATAACAATGTCTATTTAAGATGAACCATTAAGATGAAACTAAATACGACTCTTCTTACAAGGTTAAAGGTCATCTAGCACAATGGGGTAAACTGGCTGTGAAAGCTGTTGCGAAGCTAAACAACTGACTAATATTT